TTTTTTTAACATTGTATTTTCAAATAATTTTAGATTTACAGAAGAGTTGTAAATATAGTACAGACAGTTCCCATATACCCTTCACCCAGCGTCCCCTAATGTTAACATCTCATGAAACTCGGGTACATTGATCAAAACTATGACACTAACATTAGCACAATACAATTTACTAAATGACAGACTTTATTCAGATTTCACTAATTTTTCCACTAACGTACTTTTTCTGTTCAGGGTCCAATCCAGGATCCCATGCAGCATTTATAGCATGTTTAGTTCAAACAAAAAAACGCACCCCTAGAAACAAGTTTCCTGTTAGGAGGTGGAAAGGGCAAGCTAGTAAATGTTCTGGGCAATTTATGATCCTGCACTATTCTACCCAGAAGGGAACTCCATCACTTCTGCACCAAAGCCCTTAATTCATGATACCTCATCACAGTTATTTTCAGAAAACATGTCTTACATTAGCACTTCTCACAGTAGTACAAAGGGATTTGACAAGTAGATTATTTTAGCAACCAATATTATGAGGGTGACAAAATGAGAGGGATGGCCTTCCTTATCTGTTTTCTAGGCCTCATTTTTCTTCGAACTGTATTTAAACTTTTTACTAGAAGCTGTAATATTTGACGATAATATAAATGCCGAGAAACACCCACACCAACAGGGAAGGGACCCTTTCCGATGTGTGTTTGGTTTTGTTTGCCTGAAATTAAGTATTGAAATCTTAGAGAAACCAAATTGATTAGGTTATTTTTGCTTGTTAATCTCAAGTGTGGGAAGGGAAAGCAGGCTATGACATCCATTTATTCCTTCTACAAATAATCGGATTATAAAGAATAACTCCCACTTACTGAGTGCCAATTGTGTGCCAAACAATTTGCAAAATGCTTTACATATATTGTTTTGCTGAATGGGTCACAACAATCCTGTGAGGTCAGTACTATTATTACCCTTCTTTTCCAGGGAGAGGGGTGGGGAACAGAGGGTTGGAGATGTTAAGTCACTCACCTACGGTCACACAGCATGTAAGTGATGGAGCCAGGATTCAAGGCCAGGTCAGCCTGATTCCAAAGCTGGTCCTCTTGGCCACTATACTATATTGCCTCTCTGAGCACTTGCCACATTTCAGACACTGTGCTAGGTGCTAGACAGAGATACCACAGTGAAAAGGATATAGCCCTTATTCCCTCAAACCTTACAGTCTAGTTGGAGGGGAGAGACTATTAAATAGCTAAGTATAATATAGCCCTCTCTTCTTCTCAAGTATTCCTTGAATTTGTTACAAGTAAAGGTGATCAGTAAATGCAAGCAGTGAATGCCAACACCTTTAAACATTTAAATTCCCTTTTTAGGTCCTCTGAGCAAAGACCTCTCCCCTCCACGTACCCTGAGAATCCCTAACAGGAGTGGACTTGAGGATATTGACATACTCCTCCACTGTGTTGCTCTGGGCTAGATGTCAGCATTGCCACCCCACTTAGTCTCCTTTGAGAAGAAACAAGGGGAAATATGATGTGGAAATACATTTAATGATGGAATCAAATCAGCTGATGGAAAATTTTTAAGCCTGGGACTTAATAATTATATTCCATTTCAACTGTCCTTTTGCACTTGCATTAATTGGTGACCTCTAAGGGAGCTTCAATCGGTTCATGAGTGGGAAGGGAAAGCAGGCCATGACATCCATTTATTCCTTCTACAAATAATTGGATTATTATTTATGGGCAGGCCACTTTGAAATATATTTCTTAGAAAAATGACAATGATAACTCTGTAAATTATAAATTGGCGATGTGATTTTGAAGGTGAAGGGTTGGAAGACTTAAATCTCAGCAAATGACAATCATTCTCTTCTCCCTTCCAGCCCCAAAACAATCAAATACCCTAACCCTATGGTTCTCAATGCCGGCTGCACACTGGAATCACTGGGGAAACTTCAAAATGACCAATGCTTGTGTCCCACTCCCAGAGATTGTGATGATTTAATCGGTCTTGGGTATGGCCTGAGTTTTGGACATTTTAAAAGATCCCCAGGGGATTCTGATGTGCTGACAAGTTTGGGAACCACAGCCCTAATCAGAGGATCATAACCCTGGCTGCACATTAGAATCACCGTAGGGGATCTTTTAAAAATCCAGATGCTTGGGCAACACCCCAGACCAATTAAATCAGAATATCTGGGGGGAGGGCCCAAGCCCCAGGATTTTTTTAAAAGCTCCCAGACGAGTCCAATGGAACCACTGCCCTGGGTGAAACTCCAAATCTGCAATAAGGGCAATAGCAAAATTTGCACTCAGAGGTTCAGCAACTCTAAGATGAGCCTAATGAGAAGAAGCCAGTTCTAGAAGACAGGTAGGAATCAAGCTGAGGACAAACTCTTAAAATAACTGTCCTACTTTAATATTAAAATGAGCTCACTTGTCTCTTGCCTTGCATAATGGTTAATTTTAAGGGTTGGCTAGGATTACTAGCAACTGATGGTATTTGAGCCCCACTCCCTACCCCCCCCCCACTGAAATAACTGCAGAAAGATGGGAAAGGGAATGCTTTAAACAGATGAAAACCTTTGCAAACAACTGTAAATCAGTGCTCAGAGACTCTGGGTGGGTCTAGACAAGGAGGAAACAGAAAAGCAAGCTATTTTGCCTATGTGTCACCCAACCAGTTAGTTTTTATCTGCAACTTGATGTACACTTTTACTCATCAAGCCAAGCACTGGGCTTGGAGACAAAAATCCTAGACGGCGATTCTCATCCTTACCTACACATTCAAGTCATCGGGGGAGCTTTTAAAATAATGATGCTAGGGCCACACCTAACATGAATTAAACCAGAATCTCTGAGGAGATGACGCCCAGGAACCTCTGGTTTAAAAGGTAGCCAGGTGATTCAAATGTGCAACCAAGGCTGAGAACAGTCACTCTAAACCAGTGGTTCTCAAGCTTAGTGTGCATCAGAATCATCTGGAGGGCATGTTAAAACACAGATTGCTGGGCCCCACTCCAGAGTTTCCCATCCAGTTGGGGTGGAGACTGAAAGTCTGCATTTCTAACAAGCTCCTAGGTGATGCCAATGCTGCTGGTCCAGGGGCCATACTTTGAAAGGTAAAACCCCAACTAGACCATTGGTTCTCAAACTTGGCTGCACATGAGAATCACTGGGGGGCATTTTTTAAATGCTGATGCCTGAGCCCCTCCCTAAACCAATTATATTGGCATGTCTGGGGCCCAGGGATCAGTATTTTTTTTTTTTGAGGAAGATTAGCCCTGAGCTAACATCCGCCGCCAATCCTCCTCTTTTTGCTGAGGAAGATTGGCCCTGGGCTAACACCCATGCCCATCTTCCTCTACTTTATATGGGACGCTGCCACAGCATGGCTTGACAAGTGCATCCGTCAGCGCCTGGGTGCGGATGTTAGCTCAGGGCTAATATTCCTCACCAAAAAAACAAACAAACAAACAAAAAAGGACAGAAACATGATTCTAAAAGCATCTTACTTATAACATATAACACTAACAGAATTATCAGGAAGCTGATTATCCACAGCCAATCCTATATTTATTCATTAGATATTCCTTGGGGAATAACTAGGTTAAAATAAAAATATAAAGACGAATAGAGTTAGCCAGAAGAGGTACGGAAAAGCACATTCCAAGCTGAGGAAACAATATGAAAAGGACCAGAATGGAAGAAATTTGTCTTTTCCAGGGAAAGGAATTCAATGTGTATGGAGAAATGAGGCTGCCCAGATTATGAAGGGGCTTTGAGGCTACATCAAGAATTTGGGACTTTATTTTAAAAGCAATAGGAAGCCAAAGGCAGATTTTAAGCATTGGAGAAACACAATGAGATTGGCATTTTAGAAAACTCACTCTGGCTATAGAGAATGAAATGGATGGGGGCATGAGTGGACACAGTGGCATCAGGTGGGAAGATGGCCCTTTCAGTAATAATCCAATGAGAGATGATGGTAACCTACAGGGATGGAGACTTGGTGATGCATTTGATATAAGAGAAGAAGGGTGTACACGAGAAAAAGGACTCAGATATAATTCCCAGGCTTCTAGCTTGAGTGACTGAGTAGATTGGTATATTCATCAAGTTTGGGAATACAGGATCAAGAACAGGTTTGGACGAAAGATGTGAAGCATTCAAAATTAGATATGTTGAGTTAGGAGTACCTAGAAGATATCCAGGTGGAATCCACCTTGTAGGCAGTTGGATATGAGAATGAGAAAGGTAAGTCTGGTTTCCAGCTTCAGTAACTAATAGATAGGATTGCCATTTACAAATATGTGAAACAAAGGGGAGAAAATCAAAGTTGCTTTACATTGAAAAAATTTTTCACCGGCTTAGCGGTTAAGTGCGCGCGCTCCACTACTGGCGGCCCGGGTTCTGATCCCGGGCGCGCACTGACGCACCGCTTCTCTGGCCATGCTGAGGCCGCGTCCCACATACAGCAACTAGAAGGATGTGCAACTATGACATACAACTATCTACTGGGGCTTTGGGGGATAAACAGGAGGAGGATTGGCAATAGATGTTAGCTCAGAGCCAGTCTTCCTCAGCAAAAAGAGGAGGATTGGCATGGATGTTAGCTCAGGGCTGATCTTCCTCACACACACACAAAAAATTTAAGTTATAAAAATAATATAACCCCATTACATGAAATGAAAAATAGGGAAATGGAAATAAAACTTATCTGACTACTATAAATCAACACTTTTTATCATTTTAGATTATTTCTTTCTAGCATTTTTTTAAATCAATATTTATATAGTAGCTTTAATAGCCATATTTCCCTGATAAGGAGGCTTCTCTAGAAGTATTTAGGATTGAGAAGAATTAAAAATACTAGTTGACCTGATAACATTTTATACATCTGACAACACTTGCTAACTTACATGTCCTCAGGCTGTTAAAAGATTCCAAACATAATCTAAATTGTTGGGCAAGTATCCAAGAACAACTCTAGAGTAGAAGAAATCATGAACTAGAGAATGTCCATTTCAATATCCAATTTATTATAGTGTACACTGGATCATTAGGGGATTCTGGAGCTTTCTGCCTCCATATCACACAGCACAATTATAGGTATTCAGTCTCTTCCTTGAAGATCTCCTTTCCCATTAAGGTCACTACTATGACCAATTCTCCCTCCAGAGGTGAGAGCTAGTTGGTGTTATTCCTGGTAGGAGTAACCATATTTTTAAAGGGTATTCTAGAAGCCTCAAACCGTAAAAAAACCCAAAGGAATGAAGCTCTACTGAGATCATGCAGTCACCATGCAATCACTTCGTAGCTTACTCTGCTCTTTTAAAAAGCTAGACTTGTTTCTAGTTCTAATCCTTGGCTACCTCCCGAACACAGAACATATCTAGTAAAATCTCTGGGCAAATACAGAGACCTGAGTCAATGTGAAATTATTATCAGCTGCGGAGAAATGCTCAGTTGTCACCACACCACAGGCAGAGTCAGACAGAGGAGACAAGACTATAAACTAGGACCAAGGGAGCCATGACAGGCTGACAGCAAAAGGAAGGAACAGTCCAGATCCAAGGCCAAAGAGTGGTCACAACCAGGCAAACACTCATGACAGCATGGGAACCTGAAAGCTAAGGTTATAAATCTACCTCAGATAAGAGGCCTCCTATATTCTTCCTGCTCACGATCCAAAGATTGGTTTCCCTGGTAATGCTCTCAAGGTCTGCAATGCAGCAATATGCCAAACCTGAAAGTTACTGAAACTTCAGCCTTAACCAAGAGCCTGCAGTCTTGTAGGAGGCTGCTTATCGAGTGAAGAGGAGCACCAGCTCACAGTGCGGGGTGTGCGGGAACAGATCCACAGGCACAGCTTGTCTCAGGACAAAAGGCTCGCCGAAGAGCTTCTTAGCAGAGTTTGGAGGACAGCACAGCCTGTAGAAACAGATCACAATATCAGTTCCTGGAAACCAAGGAGAACCTACAGGAACACAATTTTTTAAAATTTAAGCCTTTCCTCTGTGTTCCCACAGCCCCCTGTGCTTCTTTCTATAACAGCACTTATCATATTTAATGTAACTACCTTTTTTTTTTAACCATCTTCCTCACTGGAGTATAATCTTTTTGAGGGTAAAAACGAGGCAAAAACTGCTTATTAGTCATCTCTGTGTTCCCAGTGTGTGACACACAGTAGGGGTTCAGCAATGAATGGAGTGAGAGGCCTAGGTCGTATACTTTTCTGTATGATTTGCACACAATAGGTCATAATAAATATTACTGAATTAAATTATTCTATTGAAATTTTTTAAAGTAGATTACTGTTTTCCCTTATTTCAAAGGCACTCAAGCACAAATGAGAACAAAAATTCACCTAGAAACTCACCACTCAGAAAAGGATAACCACTGCTTACTTTTCAGGATATAGCTTTCCAAATATGTATATTTACATTGGTTTCTTAAAATGAAGTCACACTGTACATTTTGTACATACTGCTTTACAACCAGTTTCTTCAGTTAATAATACATCATCAGCATCTCTCCACTATATGTAAAGCTACCTCACTTGTATTGGCTATATGGCTGTTTTAACTTTTTGCTATTTCAAGAAGTCCCTCCATGAATATTCTTATAGTTATATCTTTGCATACATTTTTATCTTTTTAGTGGAACTGCTGAGTTGAAGGGCCTGTATGTTTTTAAGGCCCTAAGATATGTACCACTAAACTGTTCTAAAGAAGATTGTACCAATTTGCACTCAAAGCAACAAAGCAGAAGAGTTCTTGTTTCCTTGGCTAACACTCAATAGTTTAAATAGCACTGTCCCATTAAAATCAGGAACAAAACAAGATATTCACTACCACTCCTCCTACAATGGAACATTTTCTTATCCAATGTAATAAAAAAAAAGTATTGGAAAGAGAGAAACAAAACTTTTTATATGCGGACCTTATGGCCAGTTACCAACAAAATTCAAGAGAATCAATTGGGAAATGAATAAAACTAATAAAAGAGTAAAGTAGCTGGACACAAGATCAGCAATAACCAGTTACAAAATGTCATGAAAAAGGTCCCATTCATAATAGCAATAAATCTTTACAATATCTTATATTAACCCTAAAAAGAAACACCTATATTGGAAAAAATATATATATATAGCATCAGAGAATTACATAAGACTAGAGTAATTGAAGACACCATATACCTGGACAGAAAAAATACTGTAAAGATTTCAATTCTCCCTAAATTAATTAATAAATTCAGTGTGCTTCCAATCATAATTCCAAAAAGATATTTTTGATAAGTTGATTCTAGAGCTCTGTTAGAAAACACACGAAAATGTTAAGAGCATATATCCTTTAACCCTACAATTCCACATCAGGGATTGATCTAGTTTATATATATATATATACTATCACCTACATTTATTCATCACATATACGTATACATTGCACACATATATTGCAAATATGTGCAAAGATATATGTCCAAGGATATTCACTGTAACACTGTGGTAACAATAGAGAAGAAACAACCTTAAAATTCATTAGCAAGGGACTAGTTAAATGACATATTTGTGTAAGTTAAAACTATATAGCCTTTTTCAAATGCTAAGTAGACCTATATTTTTTGTGTGTCTGTGTGTGGAAGATCAGCCCTGAGCTAACATCTGTTGCCAATCCTCCTCATTTTGCTGAGGAAGATCGGCCCTGGGCTAACATCCGTGCTCATCTTCCTCTACTTTATATGGGACGCCGCCATGCGAACGGTGCATCAGTGCGTGCCTGGGATCCAAACCTGCGAAACCCCTAGTTGCCGAAGTGTAGCACACACACTTAACCGCTGCGCCACCAGGCCGGCCCCTAGACCTATAAGTATCGATGCAGATTCTACATCATTGTAGAACAATCTCCAAAATCTATCGTTAAGTGAAAAGCATGGTGCAGAACAGTGTTTATAGTCTATTTGTAAAAAAAAAAGAGGGATGGTATGTACACACACACACACACACGCACACACACACTTGTGTAGTTACAGAATATCTCTAGTAGGCTACACAAGAAACTGGGAAGAGTGGTGACATCTGAAGGACTAGGGATCAGGAATAAGAAAGAAATTCATTAGTCACTGCATACTCTACCATATGTACATACTGTCTTTTCAAAATAAATTTTTCTTCCCTTTTTGAGGCCATGTTTATTGTTTTACTCAGTACGAGTGTCAGCAGAATCCTAGGTTTACTCTTAATCATTGCATTTTTTAAATAATTGTTTTGCATAATGAATATTTTCATTTTATTCAAAAATGAAGTAACATTAAGAGGTAAACAGTGATATCTCCTTGCCACTGGAAACTCTCATCTCCACAGTCCTCTCCCACTAAAATAACTACTATTATCAGTTTCTTACATAACTTAGCAGTTTCTTTATGTATATACAAGCAAAACAAATCTATATTCTTCTCCTCATCCTTCATCCTTTTCTACAAAGATAGTTTACTATTATATAAACAATTCTGCACACTTTGCTATTTCCACGTAGTAACATACCTTAGAGCCAAAATCACCAGCCACAAAAGAAAAATAGTCTGGATATCTTGAAAATTAAATACTCTTGTGTTTCAAAGGACACCATCAAGAAAGTGAACAGAGAACCCACAGAAGGGAGAAAATTTTTGCAAATCATGTATCCGATAAGGGACTTGTATCTAGAGTATATAAAGAAATCTTAAAACTCAATAATAAAAAGACAACCCAATTAAAAAATGGGCAAAGGATCCGAATAGACATTTCTCCAAAGACGACATATAAATGGCCAATAAGCACATGAAAAAATGCTCCACATCATTAGACATTGGGGAAATGCAAATCAAAACCACAAGGAGATACCACTTCTGACCCACTAGGATGGATATAATAAAAAAAGACAGACAATAACAAGAGTTGGTGAGGATGTGGAGAAACTGGAACCCTCATACACTGCTGATGGGAATGTAAAATGGGGCAGCTGCTTTGGAAAACAGTCTGGCAGTTCCTCAAAAGGTTAATATAGAATTAACATATGACCCAGCAATTCCACTCCTAGGTATCTACCCAAGAGAAATGAAAACATATGTCCACATGAAAACTTGCACACAAATGTTCATAGCAGCATTATTCATAAGAGCCAAAAGGCAGGAAGAACCCAAATGTCCATCAACTGATGAGTAAATAAATAAAATGTGGTATATCCATACAATGGAATGAAGCACTGATACACGCTACAGCATGGATGAACCTTGAAAATATCATGCTAAGTGAAAGCAGCCAGACGCAAAGAACCACATACTGTATGACTTCATTTATATGAAATGTGCGGAATAGACAAATCCACAGAGTCAGAAAGTAGATTAGTGGTTGCCTAGGGCCAGGGGGTTGGGGAAAAATGAGAATTGACTGGTGAGAGGTGCAGGATTTCTTTTTGAAGTGATGAAAATGTTCTGGAATTAGTGGTGATGGCTGCACAAGCCTGAGAACATACCAAAACCATTGAATTGTACATTTTAAATGGATGAATTTTATGATATATGAATTATATCTCAACAAAGCTGTAATTTAAAAATAACATCTTAGAGATTTTCTGTATCAGTACATAAAGAACATCTTCATTCTTTTGTATAGCAGCACAGTATTCCATTCCACCCATAACTATGGATGTAGCATAGTTGATTTAACTAGTTCCCCACTGATGGACTTTTAGGATATTTCATTGTTTGCCGTTATACTGCAATAAATAACTTTGTATATATGTTCTTGTATATGTATGTCAGTATATTTGTAGGATAAAGCCACAGGAATGGAACTACTGGGTCAAAGGGTTTATATACATTTACAATTTTAATCTATATTGCTACATTTCCCTCCATAGGGATAGTACCAATTTACACTCCGAGCAGTAGTTTTTTAGAATTCACGTTTCCTCATAGTATTGCCAACAGTGCATTATCAAACTTTTGAACTTTTGCCAGTCTGAGACATAGAAAGCGGTGTCTCAGAGTACTTTTAATTTGCATTTCCATTATAATGGAAGAGACTGAGCATCCTTTCATGGTTCAAGCACATTTATAATATTTTCTTTTCATATCTTCTGTTCATTTTTCTTTTGGGCTGTCGTTCTTTTTCTTAATGATTTCCAGGAGTTTGTTATAAATTAAGGAAAAAAGTCTTTGTCTGTCATACGAACCGCAAATTTTTTTCCAGTTTCTATGTTGTCTTCCGTCTTTGCTTTTGGTGCTTTTTACCATGCAAGTTATTGATTTTTTTTAACTGTTTTCTTGAGATATAATTCACATACCATACAGCTCATCCATTTATACAGTTCAGTGGTTTTTAGTATATTCACAGAGTTGTGCATCTATCACTACAATCAATTTTGGAATATTTTCATTAACCCAAGAAGACATCATGCACCCCTTAACACTTGCTATTTCTCCCCAAACTCCCCACCCCCAGCCCTAGGAAACCACAAATTTACTGTCTGTCTCTAGAGATTTGCCTAGTCTGGACATTTCCTATAAATGGAATCAAACAATATATAGCCCTTTGTGTCTGGCTTCTGGATACCAGCCCCTTATCAAATAAATCATTTGCAAATATTTTCTCCCATTCTGTGGGTTGTCTTTTCACTTTCTTGATGGTATCATTTGCAGCACAAAAATTTTTTTAACTTTGATGATGTCCAATTATATACACACACACATATATACATACACACACATATATTTTTTGACATATTGTTGTTGTTGCTTGGGTTTTTGATGGTATATCAAAGAAGGCTTTGCCTAACCCAAGGTCACAAAGCTTTACTCCTGTGTTTCAGCTCTTATATTTAGTTCTATGATCCATTTTGAATTCACTTCTGTGTATGGTGTAATAAAGGGAGAAGGAATAATTTTCATGTAGCCAAATTTAACAACCTTTTATTATATGGCTTCTGAATTTTCATAGTTACAAAGGGCTTCTGCACTCCAAGATTAAAAAGAAATTCTATGATTTCCTAGGGTACACTTATGGTTTCCCCTTTTTATATTTAAATCTCTGACTCCTTTGTAATTTATCCTGGTATACAGTGTGAGATACAGATCTAATTTTTGTGTTTTTTTTTGCCATGGCTACCCAGGTGTCCACCACCATTTACTGAATAGCCCACCTTCTTCCTACTGATTTGAGGTGCCACCTTTATCATATATTCAAAAACATTTTTAAACACTATAATAAAACTAAAGGACAGCTGGAAGAGTAAATGTGCAAGCAGAGACAAGGAAGTAAGACTGTGAAACATAAGGGCCTCATGCTTTTATCTTGGGTAGAAGCAGCTCTTTGACAACTTTCTCAATTTTTTTCCGTGGTTACTGGTCTGTTTAGGGTTACTATATCTTCTGGAATTAACATTAGCCATTTGCATTTTCCCAGAAAATCACCCATCTAGGTTTTCAAATGTATTGTGAGGGAGTTGTACAAAGAACTTCCTTATAATTCTTAAAAATTTCTTCATCTGTAGTTATGCTCTTTTTCTCATTTAAGACTTTATATTTTTATGTTTTATTCCTTTATATTCTTGATTAGGTTTATTTATCTATTTTATTTTCTTCTTCCAACAACACCTTCTTGTTTATCTGTCAAGTCTACAGGTTTTTTGTTTTGTAGTTCATTAATTTCCGGAATTTTTTTAATGTTATTGATTTCTTCCTTCAGATTCCTTTCGATTTATTGTTCTTTTTCTAGTTCATTGACTTGAAAGCTCAATTCATTTACTTCTTTGTTTTTTTCCCCTTTTTCTCCCCAAAGCCCCAGTAGATAATTGTATGTCATAGTTGCACATCTTTCTAGTTGCTGTATGTGGGACGCCGCCTCAGCATGGCCGGAGAAGCAGTGCGTTGGTGCGCACCCGGATCTGAACCCGGGCCGCCAGCAGCGGAGCACGTGCACTTAACTGCTAAGCCACGGGGCCGGCCCCTCAATTCATTTACTTTTAATTCTCACTTGTTTCATCCAGGCATATCATCTGTATTTTATACCCACCTATGTTGTTTGAATATTACAAAGAAATTGTATTATGTAAAAAGAGAGAGAAAGAGATTACAAGAAGAAAACATTACAAAAATCAAAATAATTGACCAGGGCCAGAACTGGAGTGAAGTGAGAGCCATTCACCTTGGATGCAAAATTTAAGAGGGTGCCAAAAAACTCAGTAATCAAGAAAAATAATATTTTGATGTGGTATTTTGGAAAATCAAATTGCAAAACTATGGCCTGCTGTCTGGCTGCCTGCTTTTATAAATAAACTTTTATTGGAACCAGGGCGAGGATTAGGGTAAGGTGAGTGAGACGGGGCTTAACAAGTACAGGAGTGCATCTTACCTTTGGTAAAAATCTTAATATTTTGTTCATCATGGATTTTTTTGGGACTAATTTTGATTTTTGAAAATACTGTATTAAAAATGTATCTTGGGGGCCGGCCCCATGGCTTGGCGGTTAAGTGCTCGCACTCTGCTGCTGGCGGCCCAGGTTCAGATCCCGGGCGCGCACCGACGCACTGCTTCTCCTGCCATGCTGAGGCCGCATCCCACATTCAGCAACTAGAAGGATGTGCAGCTATGACATACAACTATCTACTGGGGCCTTGGAGAAAAAAAGGAGGAGGATTGGCAATAGATGTTAGCTCAGAGCCGGTCTTCCTCAGCAAAAAGAGGAGGATTAGCATGGATGTTAGCTCAGGGCTGATCTTCCTCACAAAAAATAAATAAATAAAAAAAGGTTGAACAATCAAAAATGGAAAGCTATAATAAAAATAAATAAAATTAAAATGTTAAAAAAAATGTATCTTGATGTTAGCTCAGGGCCGATCTTCCTCACAAAAAAATAAAAATGAAAAAAATAAAATGTATCTTGATTACTGAGATTTTGGGCACTCTCTTAAATTTTGCACCCAAAGTGAGCTGCTTTACTTGCCTCACCTGAGACCCAGCCCTATCATTGACTCTTAATGGTAGGATAATGACTTTCTTCTGTTTCTTTACACTTCTCTGCGTTTTCCAAATTCTGCACAATAAGCACCGATTACTTTGATCATCAGGAAAAATTAATTTTAAAAAGAAGTCAAGACTTACTCAATGATGTTCCTTGTGGTTTCACCATGCGGCTTGCAGGAAACAAAAACCAGTGTGCAGATGGCCCTGCAGTTTCGAATGGCTTGAACCACCTGGTAATCTGAAGGAAGAAACACATTGCTATTAATATAATTAAACTATCATGGTCTGGGTTATCACGAACTCCCAACTGGCCAGACGCTAGGATTGGTTAGGAATAGAGGAGAAGCAGGTTCAGAGTCAGCCCACTGGGAACACCCTTAGCATGGTGCGGGAATGAGGGACTAAAGCTGGTGGACATAGTGGGAACACCCAACTAGTTTGTAGCATGAAAGCTATTCATCCTTACGCAATCCTGCCCGGGCTGGGTTCACTACAGCGACAATTAACTGTCCATCTTCCTTTGACTTTAGTAGCTGCGGCAAAATCTTCTCTGCTCGACCAGCGTGGAATTCACAGTTGGTGATGCCTGCAGAAGAGAGGCTCACATGACATAACTCAAAACTCCAGCCCAGCAGTGGGGGGCAGGGAGCTTTACAGAAATGCACAGAAGCCAGGGCTCTGTCATCTTCCCTTTGGATCCAGCATTCCTCTGAATAACAATGAAAGAATTGCTTTTGGACCTGCTTCATTTTTTCCAACATGCTTTTTCCCTTGCAATATCTCAGTAGGCCTTTCAGCTTGAGAGACTAGACAATGTTATTTTACAACTTAGTGACTCACACAGCACATAAGTACCTATACCAAAAAGAGAACCTTGACTTTTACTCAAGTGCTCTTTCTGCTATATTGGAGATTGTCTATCTATATCAGGAGCTGTCTGGAGGTGAGATTGAGGGGACAAAGGGATCTGTTTTCTATATTGTGGTTTGGCATAAGAAATTGTTCGAAGAAAAGGTCCTCTTGCTAAAAAAAAGTTTGAAACCTATTGTATTATGTTATGATGCCTCACGAGTCTAATGTCAAGAAAGCTCTTCTATATCATCCAAAGTTTTGTCAAGTTCCCTTCCTATCAAGCTAGGCTTGTTCTTTCCCTTGGGCTCTTCTTCTGGATAGAAAAAAAGATTAGCTATTGGGACCTCTTTCAGAAAACCATCAGGACCCAACTCTGACCACTCCAGAACATCTCCCCTTTCTCCCCACAGGTCATGGACACAGTACATGCCCTTTCCCACACAACCATTTGCACAGCACAGAAACAACTGCAACTCTTCATTTCTCCCCAGACTGTGAGCAGTACCGTTGAAGGCTGCAGTCCACCTGGCATCCTCTACTGCCTGCTCCACCAACTCAATCCCAAGGACCTGGGAGGTATACTGAGCCAGAGAGAGGCCAATCACACCTGGGGGAGTAAGAGAGAAGAAGAGGAGGGTATTTTAGGGTTTTAAACCAATGAGGTTATGCCCGTACCACAACCACCACCTCCCCACCTCAGCTGCAAGGGCCCCAGTTCCTGGGTGGATGGAGTTTGGGAGCTAAGCAGCATGTAGATTCTGCCCTGGGCTGCCACTTGCCAGTTCCGCAGCAGATGTCAAGGAGGATGGTGTTAGAGTTCACTCCACTCAGCTCCCCCACGGTCCGATACAGCATCTCTGCACCAGCAGTATTAATCTGGAAAAAGGCATCTGGAGAAATACGGATCTTCAAGCCCAAGAGATCTTCAAAGATGTGGGGTTCCCCAAGTAGGAGCTGGTAGGGGGATTGCTGATGACTGCAACGGGTCATGGTGCTGGAAAAGAATAAAAGAAGAATGCATCTTGTAATGCCAGACGATTCTATCTCTAGTGGGTGGTTGGAGGGGGAGGGCCCAGCATCTCAGCTAGAAGACACAGCCTCCATGGCAGGGCCCTGAGAGCTCTGAAGGAGTTCCCCTCTCAGGGGATGGAGGCACATGCAGACACTCTCTCATCTACAGCCTGGGTTCCCAGACCTGGCTGGGGTAGAAGGGCCAGTACCACTTAGCCCAGATCCTCCGTGATCAGCAGCCCTGCCTCAGCAATCCACAACCCAGACAACGGCAAGCCATCAGCCTCCTGCCTGCTGTTTGGCTGTCCCAGGTTTACCTTTCCTGGAAGTAAAGTGATGTCAAGTCACAGACTGCTCCTGGCCCCTTGGTGAAAAACTCCTTTACAGTCTCCTTCTGAACACAGAGTTCCTCCTGCCCAGACCACAAAACCAGGAGTCAAGGAAAGACTCATCTCTGATAAATTTTCTCTCCAAGCTCTACAGTAATCAGCCTGCAGTAGTCAGACAAGAAGGCACATTTCTCAAACCCATTATAAATGACACTTAACATAAAGCAATGTTCTATAGGACCAAAAAATATGCTATTTTCACCTCTCACTAGAAGCATTGCGTTGCTTATCTGCTTTTGACAAATCCCATACAATAGACATGGTTTGAGCCTCTTTAATAGTTCTCTAAAGAAAGTGTGAGAGTTATTCTTGTTGTAAACAAGGGAAGGAGCTAAACTAAGCTTTTGTCCCATCACAAAGAAGCAATAACTTTTTAATTCTCTTCATACTTCTCCACTTCAAACATCCCAACTACCCACCCAAACACCACCTCAGAGGACGTGAGTCCTTTGAGAAAGGAAAGAGAGGGCATGGAAGAGAACAAGCAAGGTAACTAACTCCTTTCTTAGAGTTCAGAACATTTAAAATTCTAACATCACTACAGGAAGCCTAACCATTAGCTTTATACAAGGATCTATTGCAATAAACTATGTTGGAGCTATAGAGTTAAAAGGCCAGGAATCAATGACCTGGCTTCAAGCCCTAGCTTGGCTGTTTACTGGCTCTTTAACCTTGAGTACTTCTCTGCTTCCATTTGCTCATCTAGGAAATGAGGGTGACGATACCTCTCCTTCTCTTGCCTACTTCACAAGTTGGCAGAGGATCATATAAGTATAGGAATGTTTTGGGAATCTTTGAAAGCTCTACGTGCATTACAAATATAAAGTATAATTTGGGTTATGAAATTTTGACTATATTCTAGTCTCTATTGAATTGGCTTTCAGATTCAATAGAGCACCTACTAACTTTCACGGGGAAAGTTCTTGTGAAAAGATTTAGAGATCCTCACGTGATAATTAACGTGGTACCCTCGCTTCAGTCTCTGTGGTTTGATTATGCCAGCAGCACAGTTAAAGAATATCTTTGCCATCTCCTCCTTCTCACCCCCAACCCCTCTTCCCAACCCACACAAATATTCTGTGGATGTGTAGTTTCTGCTATCTGCCCTGAAACTTCCAAAAACCAATTGCAGCATAGAAACAGTAAGGGTTGCTACAGAAGCTGCCCCTTATCATCCTGTGAGTCTCACCTGTGTTAATTCCTGGGGATGGAAAGTGATGATGGCCATTGTGTGCCCTTGGCTATTTGTGCGGACTATGAGCTCACGCCAGTATCCACCCTTATGAAACAGAAGGCAGGGCTCCAATGGGGACTGTCGAAGGAATGCTTCGTAGTACTAGGAAGAAAACGGTATTATTATACAGGCAAAGCTAACAAGTTCCACAGCTGATTATTCATGCTGGGCGACTATCATGGGCTGAACTGTATCCCCCCTCAATTCATATGTTGAAGCCTTAACCTCCCAGTACCTCAGGATGTGACTGCATTTCGAGATAAGGTCTTTTAAAGAGGTGATTAAGTTAAAATGAGGTCGTTAGAGTGGGTCCTATTCAATCTGACTGGTGTCCTTTTTTTTTTTTTTTTAAG